AAGAAAACCATATTATATTCCGGTTACGGTACAGATGCAGATACCAGAGAAATTATCATGACCGGAAGATTTGACAGGGCAAATAGCTGAGGCATTCGCTGTGCAGGCTTCTTTGGCCGTAACAGTTACAACTGGTTGGCCGAGTGAAATCAAATTACTTATTATCTTTTTTTTAAGCACGCAAAAGCACGTATTTTATTAAGCAGAACAGAAGTTTTTAGAACAAACAACAAGCATGGTAACACTCTGGTTACCAAAAATACACACCCCACCCCACACCAGAGCACACGGGGGATTACACCAAGTTACATGTTGCGACTAGCGCGGGCAGCAGGCTGGATCAAGCCCCCAAAACGGACAGCAGCAGCCGCAAATGTGTGAAGCCCGCCTGGCACCACGACGAAGCCTCATCCTGAATAAGTGCAGCCAATTCCGCCGCCGGGCGCCCCACGCCGTTGAAAGTTCTGACGTTCCTCTCCTTCCATATAAGCCATCCCACCAGGAAGAATAGAGAGTCAAAACCTCTTCGCAACAATTTTGGAAGCTGCTTCCTAGCCGTAAGCCACCACTGAAACACATTTTCATCTCTAACAACAATGGTAGAGTGAAGATTTAGCCTGAACAGCACCAAAACCCGCACCTCCCTAGTTAGTGAACATCCCAGTAAGATATGATCAATTGTCTCCGCCGTCTGGTCACACATGATGCAGGTACTGGACGGCTGCAAACCGTGTCTGAATCTTTGTTCCGCTGTCCAACAGCGATCATGAAGGACGAGCCAGAAAAAGAAGCGTACACGCGGTGGTGCCGCGGTCTTCCACATCTGCTTAGCCCCAAACACGGGTGATGAACCAAAGAACATCGCCCCGTAGGCCGAAGCCGTTGAGTACTCTCCATCCGTCGACAGAAGCCAACGGAAAGTATCAGGCTCATCAGACAAATGAACGGACTCCAGAAGATCGAACAAGTAGCCAAACTCGAGCATCTGTTGTGCAGTCACCGGCCCCTGAACATGGCGCGCCCAAGCATCCCCCGTGAGCGCCTGGGCCACAACCGTCTTCTTCTTCCTAGCACTGACCGTCGCAAAGATAGACGGCGCAATGTCCTCAATGCATCTTCCATCCAGCCAGACATCTGTCTAGAAGAAGGTGGATTCCCCATTGCCAAGGGTCAGCACCGTAGCGGCCTGGAACAGCTTCAGCACCACGCTCTCCCTGGACACAGGCATCTTGCCAGCGCGCCTGTCGCGCCACACCCACCGCAAACGCAGCGCAATTCCCACACGCCTGAGGTCGGAAATACCGAGGCCGCCCAGCTCCTTGGGTAAGGCGGCAGAACCTGTCTCCAGAAACCCTACAATGCCACCAGCAGCCACCTCCGAACCTGTCCAGATAAAAGCACGACGCAGGCGATCAATCTCCCTAATTGCCCACGGTGATAGACATAGGGCGATGGAGACATGCACCGGGATCGGCGAGATGTGTTGTTTTTACCAAAGGTCGTGCGGCCACCCATGCTCACCTTCTCCATCCCAATGAACTCCCCGACTACATTACGACGCCGCGACGATCATTGAGGCCGCATGCACGCTCCAACCAAACAAGAAAAGTTTGTCGACATTAAGGAACCAAGGTGCGACACGGCGTAGCAGACAAAGACCAAGTCCTCGGTTGAGGGGCCTCGTCCACCCTAGCCACGCCCAGTCCATGGCCACCAGTCCACCTTCCCTCCAGAAAGTTTGAGAGCGACCCTCTTAATGCGCCCGTGATGTCGCCATGAACGCCGCCTTGACCAACCCCTCCACTCGGCCTCGGGGCATCATCCTCACCGCACCCCCAACTTCTTCAAAGAAACACGCCACCAGCGCTTTGAGCCGTGGCGTTTGCCACACGCGTGGACGGGCAAAGAAGACGCCCGCTTCTCCTCCGACGGTTCGCCTCGAGACCGAGTCCGAAACACGCCGCAGCCTTCTTGGCCTCTCCTTGATAATCAAAATAACGGAAAGGAAGACACACCTCTTCCTCCAAAGAGATCCTGGATGGACCATGGCGCCCCGGTAATCAGCCATCGCACCAGCAGAAACACCCTCCTCCAAAGACAAAGATCAGCCATCGCACCAAAGAACTCCTCCCAAGACAGATCGTGAAGTTCCGGTCCCGCTAGACTCAACACAGGTGCAGCGAGAGAGGCATCATGGCTTCGTACATTATTGTCCTGTTCAGCCCATTCCATCTCAACCTTGTCCGACCACCAGTCAACAGAGTTCAAGCCAAGTTGCATCACGGCCCTCTCCTTCCCCGCCTCAAATTCAGAGGCCACATGTTTGGCCCACCAATCATCCTGGATCACCGAGGGCGGAGTCCACACGCTTCGCCCATCCTGCAACAAATGCGGAGCATGGCGCAAGAAGCAGCCCACCATGCCCGTAGCATGTGACAAGCCACGCCATGCGCGCAGAAGAGAGGCGACCGCAAAGTCCTTCGGATCAACGTCGAGCAGGAGGAAGAGTGGATCTTCAAGATGCGCTCAGGGGTCCGAGGATGGACAGCATCTCCCAACGCTCCAAATGACCCTGAACAACAACAGGGGATGAAGGCACCACCGAGAACGCGTCATCCCCACCAAAGAAGCACTTCCGGATGAGAGGGCAGCAAAAACTCCCCACCGGATGATCAGTAGTCTCAAGCCCGCCTTTGCAATAAACTTGACACAGGTGATAATGATTATAGTTGCTATCCCTAGAGTCATCTCAATCACCGTCCCTCCTCGGAGTTGGGTCATAATCAGGTATGAACTCCCAGTGAACATCACCAACGGCTCCAGCTTCATCGCTTGCCATTGATCCCATCATTGTCATCTCCCCTTCGTCGTCATGACCACCATTGTCACCCCTCGCCGGGCGATTGGGGTGGTGTACTGTCTTGGTGAGCAACAAGTCGATATACGGATCAAATAACGTGAGACCGGAGCCGATTCCTAGACCTCCAATCTAATAACCCCAGCACTCTTGGTTCACGAATATAAATAATCTGGCCATCGAGGATGAATCTGCGGATGCCAACACCAAGTCAGTAACAAAAAACTCTCGATCATCGTCCACCGGAGTGTCCCTCCCATCTCGTGAGCTCCACATCAAGACACGACGGCCCTGTAGGCGACTCGCGTGCCACATCGATTTTTCTCGCGTGCAACGGTACACGCCTTCAGCGCCACCGGGACTTTGAACTTGAAGGTCAGGCGCTTGCTCCAGGGCGCCCGCCAAGGATGCCACACCAACGGCATGAGAGCACCCCCTGCGTAGCCCCCATCACACGATCCTATGCTCCGCGCGGTGTCGAAACCGACCACGAAATCCTTCGGTTCATGTCGTCGCACATCTACCACATCCACCGGATGTCGGCGTTCCTCAAGTAGTCAGTACACCCTTGCGGTCGAGATCTCCGCCCGGTGCCGCCAATCATCGCCACCAACGCATTGCCCAAATGTCTTGAAAAACTGCATTTCTTCAAGATGGGGAACCACCACCGGCGACCAGTGCAGGCACCGCCGCGCCCCTACACCATCAGCCGCGGCCACCTCCATATGTGTTGCATTATCCGCCCGCTCCAGTGCGAGAAGCGGAGAGAGGTGCTCGGCCGCACCGGCGAGTCGGAGACGGCGGCACAAGCAGCGATCATGAGGAGGCGAGGGCGGCGCCGAGGCTCGCAGCAGCGGGAACGGCGAAGGAGCCTGTGTAGACGCTGGAGCAGCCGAGATGCCAAGCCAGAGCTCGGCCGATGTTGCGACTTTGTGCGGCCGCACTTTGTCGGGCGCCTCGAAGCGAAGCCTCGGCCGGACGCAGCGGCCAATGCGAGCGCCCGCTTGGGTCGATGATCGCCCGGGCGGGAAGGACACCGAGCCGCCTGATGGCCCTCCATCCTGCAGCTTGTAGCATCTTGGCTTGATCTCGCATTGGGCCCTCACATGGCCAGTTGAAAGACGATTGAAGCCTGGCCCCGCAGCTGCTCCCGGGGGACCGGCGAGGGGACCTCGGTGGAGAGGGGCGCGGACGCCCAAAACGGCGGCTGCAGACCTCGTAGAAGCCACCATCATCCGGCACTCCGCGGGATCTGGCAGGATGGGACCGCGGAGAAGCTGAGCGGCGAGGCGAGTGGGGGCCCGATCCCAGCGGTGGATGCACACGCCTGGCCGCCCCCATAAAGCCCTCCACACGACGTTGTCGATGACGGTGCCGGCGCGCCCTCTGGCGCTTGCCGCGAGGCTCCGCAGCAACTTCCTTGCCCCTCCCAGGCGGCGGCGGGGATACCGAGCGCCACACGGCCCTCAGGACCACGGCCGAGGAACCAGTCTCCCCAAGCTCCAGACTCGCCATCTCCCCCAACGCGCGGCGACGCAGGCCCATCGTCCACATCTTCCACTTCATCCGCCCACCAGCGGCGAGATGGGGAGCCGTCCCCCATCCGGATCTACTGCTTGCCGTTTTTTCTCCGCCGCTACCTGGGAAAGTGGCTTCGGGCTTGCAGAGCGCAGCTCCGCGTGGCGAGGTCCGGCCAGGGGCGCACCGGCTCGTCCAGGGGCAGCGACAGGGCCGGCGATGCCCGTCAAGGGACCGACTGCAATCGCTCCACGCGGCGAAGGGCGCCGCGCGGCCTGGGTAGGGTGGCGAGGCTCCGCTCCGCGCTGCGAGGGGCGCCGCGGATCAAATTACTTATTATCAAAACGGGACACAGAACGCAATGAACAAACATCCATTGGTAGCAACATATGAAAACGACATCAAAACGTCACAACAGCAAGAAACAGAGTCACATAACTGCATCCAAAAAATGACAAATTTTGATCACTGATCTCTCGTTTATCCATCAGCTTGTACCAGATCAATATAACCATTATAGTTTAGTACTTCATAGAAGAATCTATACATCAAGAGAAAGTTATGGCTTACGGCACAACTTCTAGCTAATCTTGATGAACATACCAGCAAATACTGGTAAGTAAATCTAGAGCAGCATAGGTATGCTAGCTGGGGACTCCATTGTCTCGTCATCGTCATCGACTACATCCCAACTATCGTCTAAGCCAAAACTGGTATAAGAAACATCATCAATCCTAGATTCCACAGCAGATAACCAGTTGCTTTTAGACGCTAATGATTCAGCCAAACTGCTGTCGGATCTTGCTGATCTCACCAAGCTAGACAATCTCGGTGAAACTAGTTGCTGCGGTTCATCAAAAGTGGAGCTAGACAGGATCGGTGAAATTACTTGCAGTTGTTCATCAGAAGCCGAGCAAGACAAGACTGGTGGAATTTGTTGCACTGTTTCATCAACAGTAGACCTTGACGAGATCAATGGAGTTTGTTGCAATTGTTCATCAAGAGCTGAGCTAGCTGAAACAAATGGAACTTGTTGCACTGGCTCTTCAACAGCCAAGTTAGACTTAGACAATCTCAATGAAATATGTTGCCATTCTTCATCAACAGGAATCTGAATATCCACTCTTAGCTTAAGCTTTGTTATGCTATCAAAGATTCCAAGCATTTCCCCACTGAGGTAAAAAAAATGGCATGTCAATATTTTAAAGACAAATGGAGGACAAGCATTGAACATTCCAATATATAGAACAATGAACTATAGAGTTTTTACAGCACTTACTGCAATGCATCCACAACATGTCCTCGCTCTGTCAGTAACTCTCTCAGCTGTATGAAATTAGCTCATATTAGCCATTGTTTATTAAAGCATGACTCAAGCACTGCACCTCTGATCAGAAGTCAATGTTGGTCCTTTATCGCACATATAGTTGTTACCTTTGCGTTCTCCTGTGCTTCCTGTTCCAGCCTCTTCGACTTGTTCTTTGCTGCTTCGAGTAGGAATTCCTGTTCATCAAGACTTTTCTGAGCGGATGCTTCTCTTTCTAGTTTTGCCTTCTCAGCAGCAGCTCTTTCTGCTTCTGCAGCAACAAGTCTCCTTTGAAGAGTATCTTGCATCTTCATAGCATACATGACACATGTAAGTTTAAGAAAGTGTGAACAATGAACATAGGTTAAAAAATCATATAAAACTATGGTGTCAAGAACTGGGAGAGATTCATATCATGAATAAATTCATCTTGGTTGTGGAAACAAATTTCCATTCACCAACTGACTTGGATTAGGGTCATGTCCAAATGGTAACTGAAACAAGGTGTACCCACTCGACTTCAAATTACTTGTCAATTTAGTTGTCTTATTATCTTATTAAGTCCAACTTTTATATTAGACTACCAATTCCTGTAAATTCATATAGTTTAACAACATGCGAATTGTATAATACTCCATGAAGGTAACTTTCATGGTGAATCTAAAAACATAAATAAATCTTTTAAGGTTTGACTTTGGACAAAGCTAATGACAACTAATATGAAAGAGGGAGTAAATTAAAAAGATGGCCTGTACTTGAAATTGGCTTTGCGTGCGTCAAACCCTGAGAACCATTTCCAGTACTGGGGGAGCATAGAAGGCACAGATCGGGGAGCTAGTGCACCATAAATTGCGGTACAAATGAAAGTGTAATTTGGAAATGAATCTTAAGGTGTCGTTATGTTCTCTAGTACTCCCTCATTTTATTTTTGTAATAAGGTGTGGTTTGACTTGAAATGGTCTATAACGTCACAGTTTGATAATTAATACCTCATATATTACAGTTTTAATAATGACTATGACATTGAAATAAAAGTATTTTTTAAATATGGATCCAATGATACCAAGTTTACATGGTATAATATACAAATATTTAGATTAAGTGTTATTCAAAGAATAACAGGTTTGAATATTGGGCCACGTGTTCATAATCTGTAATTTTTAGATTAAGTGTTAATCAAAGAATAACAAGTTTGAATCTTGGGTTGCCGGTTGCGTGTGTACACAAAAAGAAATGGAGTTTACAGTCACTTGGAAAGTGTTGATATTAAGTATGTTTAAAATATTACGGAAAAACATATGAATAACAGTGCAATAAAAAATTTCACCTTATCGATAGCCAGCACAAAACTCTTTGTTTCTTCAGAAATGTTGGACAACAGACATTGAAGCTCCTGTGCTTCTGCTGCAAGAAAAGATTTTTCAGCCAAAATCTCCCCTTCCACCTGCATATTGTAAAAAAGTTAAGAAATAATTTTATCTGGCAGTCCACAAAAAAAATGTAGGAACGTTCATAAAAAACTATTGCATGTAGAACCTTGTTGTTTTCTTCAACTGCAAGAGTTGTCATCTCTTTTAGTTCCTCAACCTTTACAAGAAGGTCATTACCAGCTTGGCTTGCTTCTGAAATAGCACGTTTTGTGTTTTCTTCATTTAGCTCTACCACCTGTAGCATTTCACTTATTGCAACGACATTTGACATCAGAGCATTCTGAGCCATACAAAAAAGAGAGATTGGCAATTAGCTGCAGTTTCTAGTATTAGAGTTACAAAGAGCACATAATATATGTATGCCTGCAGTCAACTGCATGAAGACTTTGTTGCACGCAAATCAATGCTATGGAGTAAACAACATAATGACATTATTAATAATTAAATGAGTATATACACACACAAAATAAACTAACTAAAATTGGAACTTAAAATTGATCATTTATCAATGTAAGCATCTGTACCACAACTTTTATTAACTGTAGAAGCTTTCACTTGGTACAACTATAAAAGTTAGTACGTTATCTGACTTAAAGAAAAAAGAAAAAAGATTTACCTTTTTGTAATGTTCATTGGCAATAATATTATCAAGAGACTCGAGGTTAAGAAAATTGCTTGATTGTACAGTCACATGAGAGGAAGCATCATCATGCAGTGACATATGACCTCCAGAGGATGAAAGCTCAGGGTTTCTCTCGGAATAGGTGTGCTGCATCAGAGAACCGGAACTGGACTCTTCAGATGTGCAGTTCTGACCAGATGTTGATGGAACATCAAAAACTTTAGGACATAATCCAGTGAGGATATCTTCCTGTTCAACTGAGGTTTTGTTGGACAGGTCAAACTGTACAGAATTTGAACTTGTTTTGTTATCAAACGAATCAAGCCCTAAGTGAGTATTTGTGTTATCAAATGCCTGCTGATTTCCTGAGAGAGAACTTGTCAATACAAAGAAGTGTATGAAATGAAAAGAAAAATGAAGGAATGATATGACTATAAATTACTTCACTGAACAGATTAGGAAGGACTATGACTCTCAACTTTCCTAAGGGATATGCCACTGACTATAAGAATATATGTTAAGCTTTCCAGGCCCAAAACACAAGACAAAACCTCGAAATCCACATGAAAATGTTTGTTAAACACTGTGTTTTATCTGGTAAATATAAAGGTCCAGTACAGACCACTACTACAACATTAACAGAAAGATAAACATATGGATCAAAAAAGGTAGGTGTTGGCATGTTTTAATTAAAGAAAAGTAACATGTGACATAATAAGATGTAAATAATAGATATTGAATGTTGTTTTGCCTAACATTTTTGAAGGAACCAACAAGTAATTGAAAGAACAGGATGGGAATTTACCATGAATATTCAAATCCTCATTTATGTTTGGATGACTGGGCTCTTGGACAATATTTGGGACGACATTCTGGACAATATAATCTGCAGCCGCATCAATGTCATCCTTGAACTGTATGGAAACTTCTATCAGTGTCGAGAAGTCAACCTGCACATATACAAAATTAGGATCCTAGAAACAGGTATACGATTTTCTAAGAGCACTTGCAACTAATCGACTGAAACAACAGTACATACAAAGAGAGTTAATAGCATGCCACAAACTGTAGAATCTGGCCTAAGTTTTACAAAATTTCTGTGCGAGTCATATTCAATAAAAAGGCACACTTGAACTAGTTTAGCTTACTTTCAAGAAAGAAGACAACAAGATCAATGGATATTTTAGACAGGTCTTAATTTGTCCTATGTACATGCAACTCACCCAAGAAAAAGTTTTGGTTTCCTGATGCATCTAGCACCAATAAAAAGATAATGAACTAACCATTGTATTTATATCAGTTTGAATAAATATATATGCACACCCTGTTAACAGATGTACATTAGAAGTTCATCCATACTTTAAGCTATGTCTAAAGCCTTTTCCTACTCGTCGGAATAGATCTAGACATTTGGTGCCCGAGGTTTTTCTGGATATCGCTCCTCAGGATGAGGCAACCTTGGCCGATTGGTGGCTGCGATCTAGAAAGCTGGTGCCTAAATCGGCTAGAAAGGAGTTCGACTCGGCGGTGCTGCTCACATCGTGGAACCTATGGAAGGAGCACAACCATCGAACCTTCGACAGGGTTTCTAGAGCACCGCAACAGCTCCTCCGCCTCATCGTCGACGAAGAGCACAGCTGGGTAGGCGCTGGTTTCACCAGCCTGTCATCCGTGATTGGCGCTACGCTTCATTAGCATCAGCCGGTTTCCGCTGCTTCGGTCGCTCAATTAGTCTCTTACTTTAGTCACAACCAAGTGTATTCCACCGCGGTGCCATGTGTCTGTGTTTACCTCATCACTAATGGCATCTCGCCGTGAAGCGATGTTGGGCATGTACTTATTTCTCTAACTCCTCTTTATGAAATACGTGCTAAGCACGCTCTAAAAAAAGGCTTTTTCTGGATAGAAAAGGTCAACAATGTCTTCTTCTCTAAGTAATGCCAGACTGAATATGTTTGGACTTTGGCAACGCAGAGGACCCTCAACAAAGAAACTCTTCTCTTCAGATAAAATACCACGCAAGTTTTGCTTAACAGAAGTACAGAACACAAGTAAAACTCTTACTTACTGGTCGTGTTCAGACACGATACATCTTATTTACTCGTCGTGTTCTTCAGACACGATCAGTCAATGGGAACAGCTATGAACTGGATTAATCGGCACTCACCTGCGGGAAGACCTCCATGAGGCCGTCCAAGACGGCGTCCCCCGTCATCGGACCCGCACCCTGCAAACAACACACGAAAACGCAGGGTCACTTAGGCGATCGAGATCGCCACCAACACCAACACAAGGAGGAGCGGATGCCGGCGAACAGGCAGCAGAGACGGGAGGGGTAATCCTGACCTCCGACGAAGAAGACGCACCCGTGATTTCTTGCTCGACTTGATCAGGCGTGGCCGCCGGGAAGTGGAGGGCCGGGGTTTCGACTTGGAATTTTTCGTGGAGAGGGGTGGATTTTGAAGTCCGGAAGCTGGAGACTGGAGAGGTTCTTGGTTTGGGAAGCGTCGTCCGGGCGGCGGAGCCTGCTGCTGCTACTTATTGGAGGGACGGAGGGGGCAGCTGGTCACGCTCACGCAACGCGGGGCGTAGGAAAGCGCTGGCGCCTGGTGCGATCGGTCCCGAGGAGGAAACCGGGGAGACGCGCGACGCGCTGGCGCGTGGGCCGAGCCGAGAGACGAGGATCGAGGAGTCCGTGTACCGAGTACTAGTACTCCGTAGTACCGAATACCGAGCTATACTCGGCGGCGAGCCTGCCACCCCTGTCCCCTCCTGCGCTGGCCCAACGGTGCTGACTGTACGTCTGCCCGGCCGGCGATCCACAGGTGGCTGGTTCGTATCGTTGTTGCGGGTTTACGAAGAAGTATTGCTGGTTGGTTCATGTGAGAGAAAAATATTATTCCAATTGAAAATTTACGATCATTTACGGTAAACCACAGCCAAGCGAACAGACTACCAATGTAACATACAGTACCGGTGTCGATATCATTGTCAACACATGGGATCGTGCTCGACCGCCAATGGCACGCCCTTTTTTTTTTTGCCTCGGCTCTCCTCCATGACATGCTTCTTTGCACAAGTAGTGAGTGGTTTGGTTTGGTTGGATCAGTTACCTGCTTGCGGGATACTAATCTTGTGTAGGTGAAACAAAAAAATAACTGGTTTCTCCTGGTACAATTTTCGTAGCACACTTCCTGTGGGAAGAAATAGTACTATTTCTAATAGAAAAAAGTCTAAATAATCCCCTGAACTATGGGAGCTGGCATACTTAATCCCACCATCTACAAAACCGGTTGTTTAGCACTTTAAACTTTACCAAACCGTTTAATTTGGCCCCTGGGCGGTTTGGGCGGGCGGTTTTGCCGACGTGGACGCTCCAACCTGGCAGCAGCGGCCAGCGTGGCTTCCGGCCCCACCTGTCAGGCGGCCCTTGGGCTGAAATACGCCTCCCTGCCTCCCTTTCCGTCTGTCAACCTCTCCGCCGGCGCACTCTCCCACGCTGCCGCACCGGTGAGGTTAGGGGAGGTCGTCGGAGGGGCGGCGGTGGTAGAGCAGCAGCGTCTCGAGGTGTTGGCATGGTAGAATCAAGCGGGCGCTCTTCTCAGGGGTTAGCTTCAAGCGGCCTTGGTGGCGGCGCCGGTGTCGAGGTTAGAGGCTCACCGGTGCCATACCGCATTGCCCCTCTCGCTTACCTCCCCCCAGTGTTTTGCAAGTGCCAGATGAAGGCGCCAAGGTGGATTTCTTGGAGTGTGGACAACACCGCCATAGGTACTACAGGTGCAAGATGGCAAATGTAAGTCAAGTTTCTCCTTGCTGAATTGGAATTGCTGAATGTGGTGTTCATGATGAATGGTTTGGTAAGTGTCATTGATTTTGTGGTTGCAGACGCCGCAGGACTGTTCCTTTTTTTTCAGTGGGTGGATCCACCCACTTCAGATTGGATGAAGGAGCTGTTGTTGGAGAGAAAATTGCTAAAATAGGACTCCCAAACATGTGCCTTTGCTAAAATAGGACTTCTAACGTTGGCTTTGCTAAAATAGGACTCGAAACGTTGTGACTTTGTTATAATGACATTTTGACAACTTTTAATCATATTCCAAAACTCAAATACATGTATTTTCTCATATTGACTGTATTGCCCTTTTGGTATTCTAATCTATCCGTGTCGATTCATTGCCCCATCCTGTCGTTCCTCCTTCCAGATGCAGCATGCAGAAGCGCTCCTCCTCCTTCTTTCGACGCGAACACCGCCACTGTCGCCCGTTCTTCACCTCCCACGCCAGACCCATGGATGGAGAAGAACCTCCTGCCACCCCCTCCTTCCTCGCCGCCGCGCCACCACCATGGACTTGGAGGCAACCGAAGCCTGACGTGGCGCGTGGTGCCCTAGCCAGCCGGGCCGCCTGCTCTGCTCGCTCGCCGTCGCTCGGTGCCTGGCCATGCGGCACCCTCTTGCTGCTGCCGACCAAGCTGGTGCAATCGGCGCATGCACTGATGGCCAAGCTGCGCCTGTGTCAGGCAACCGGCGGCTGCACCCAAAGATGGAGGCCTCCATCGATGCTCTAGCCCTAGCAAGGTCACTTCTGCCTACTGCTCCTCATCCGGCAAGAGAGTGCAACATTCCTGTTCTTCAAGTGCAAAGGTATATATTGCATCCACTAGATCTTTTATTTTTTTCAGTACAAGTACCGTATAGAAATAAAACTAGGTTTGGCTTGTTTATAGGTCCAAAGTGAATGATGTGGAAAATATAGGAAAAGTTGATTGGGCAACATTACAAATTGTGGAAACACATGATGATGAAGCATGCCTTTTTTAGTTGGTGCACCTCTAGCTAAATTACCTCCTGGAAGATTGAGGAAACTAAGAATCAAGGGATGGATGGAAGGTGGACACAAGAAGAAAGGTTCCAAATATGGAAAATTTACCAATGAGATGGAGGGTGAGAAGGAATGTGACAATGATACTGCTCCAACAAATACAAAGGGAAAGAAGATGATCAGAGGACCTATGACTTGCAAAAGATGCGGAGAAAAAGGTCATAGGCAAGCTAGTTCCAAGTGCCCGCTCAATGGGACTGCAAAAAAGAGGTAAATAGTCTGTATATTCCACAACTTTGTTTAGTATGTACATGTATTTCAATCTTGTATATATATGCATATATGCATGCATGCAGTACGTATATGAGGCAGTCTTGTTTGTTCCAAGTCAATCTTGTTTATCCTTTGCATGCATGCAGTACGTATATGAGGCCACTAGCATATATATGCATATAAGAACTCTGAACTTTGCTTTGCTTGCATTATTGCCTCCGTAGCATGTGAGAAGTCGTTGATTTTTTTTTCTGATTAACTTGGATTGCTCAAGTTTGTGATTGTTATCTTCGATTGTCTAGAAAGCGTAGGCAACCAAGGAAAAATGTTACAATACAGCCAGCAGAACCTAGCACTCCACGGAGGCCGACTAGAGAAGAAATTCTACGTGATAGTCCAGAAAGGGTCACAAGAAGGTAAAAAATTATCAATATATAAATTGACACATTTACCATACACTATTTTTTTCCAAACATCTAATTGTCGTATTGAATGTATGTGCAGCATGCTTGCGACGTTATTAGGGGAGGGCACATCTTCACAAGTTGACACCAATAGTCCCGTGAGGATGCCTACCGCTGCAGCACCCAAGAAGATGACACCGAAGAGGAAGCTACACATTGGATGAATTACTTTAGTTGTGTGATGAGATGTAAACTGCTCATGATTTATTTCATGACTTGGATCTTGTTTTAAACTAAATTATAGTCTTATGCGATGAACTTGTAACTGCTAGAATCGTGGTTTTATGATATGAAGTTGTTTGTCCTAAATTCATGTGTTTTACCTAGCTTCTTTGCTCTGATGTTTCTCTTAATCTGCCTTGCATAATTTCTTAATTCAATTGCCTCTTCATCATCTGCAGAGCTGTCCTCCTCTGATGGCTGCTTGTACTCTTCATCACATGTATCATCAGATGACATCTGCACACAGTCTTCTTCATCTTCTGTAACTGCAGCCCTTTTTCCTTTGTCTGAGTCCTTTGAAGGTGACTTGTAGAATGCCATGTAAGATTGGTAATCTTTGTCATCCATCAGTGAGCTTTGCATTACATCAGCAGGCATATCTTGATCATTTGCTTCATCTCCTCCCTCATCATCACCAAGCCATATGTCCTGATCATCTGCATTGATCTCCATAGCCACCTCCTCAACATACATGTCAACACAACTACCATCACTGTGATAAGAAGCCATGACCTGGCAGGAATCATCATCTAACAACAACACAAGGCCATTATTTATATGCATCCCAGGCTTCAACCAGTACAACCTCAAGACACTTGGATTATAGTGATCAGTTAGGTGGCCCTTGATTTCAAAAAACGAAAGCCTGTCCACATCTATCCAGGATTCAGCAATGTCTCCACCAACATAGAACAGAGCGCCTCCCACGGTGGTAAAAGTACCACCAAAGTGAAATCTTATACAGATTCTGTCCAGATTATCCATCCTGCCAACGACATACAAGCTCTCAGAACAAAAGAACTGAAAGACTCAAATTTTTCAAACCCTACATACGATCGACGGTAACAACTGGGTAAACAACATCACAGATTCTTCCACCATGCTTAACGACTACGCCGAAACCACCCCTACGACGACACTTAACCCTAATCAACAGCCGCAACGAAAACACCAATTCCCCCCCCCCCCCAAACCAGTGCTATGCAATCTGACACCGCGCAAATGAAAAACCTCAAATTGGATCTACGAGTAGCAAGTGCAGACCTGGTCGACGAGCAGAAGTCCGATCACCGTGGCGTCCTCCCGATCATCGCCGGAGAGGGAGAAGATGTTTCGGAGAGAACGAGGGCGTGGGAGAGTGCGCGGGCGGAGAGGGAGACAGAGACGAAAAGGGAGGCAGGGGAGGCGTATTTCCCAAGGGCCGCCTGATAGGTGGGGCCGGAAGCCACGCTGGCCGCGGCTGCCAGGTTGGAGGGTCCACGTGGGTAAAACCGCCCAGGGGCTAAATTAAAGAGAAAATTGAATATTTGACACCTAATCTGCCCGCCGGTGAACATTTGACATCCAATTCGCACGTCGTTGAAAATTTAACACTCTCGATGCGAATTCGTTGAAAGCAGGTGTTTTCTCATTCTTTTCTCCATTCAATATTTTTTCTATTTTCTTTTGGCTTTCAAGGCAAGGCTGAATGACCAAAGTACCCTTGGCCTTTATCCATCCATTTCTTCTGAGGACGAACGCATCTCGTACTCTGTTTTCTTCGGCTGGGTGCCGCAACCGCTGGGTCCCGTACTCTCCATCCCTTGCCCGCCGCCGCTGGGTGCAGGAGGCACCGCCGCTGGCTGGGCGTGCACTAGGCCGGTCGCGGGGTGCTGGGCGTGGGCCATGCGTTCGCGGGGCCGGTCACCGGTGCTAGACGAGCGGCCATGTGTGCGCACGCCCGGTCGTCGGTGCTGGGCGCCGGTTCTAGGGCAGTGCCACCGCAGGCAGGAGCAGAACCACTGCAGCTCGTCGTCGGCGTGCGACGCGCACCGCTCCAGCAGCACCCCGCGCTTCAGGCGTTGAGGAGACCGAGTACAGAAGTTCAAGATGTGATTTTTTTGTCTGAACCTGTCAGTGGCCAGTGGCAAATGAGATGAACAATTCTTTTGTGCAGTGCTGTGAATTGTGCATCGGTGCAATTTGTGAATGATGTATATGAAGCCGATTTATGAATAATTTTTTGTGCAGTGCTGTGAATTGTGCATCGGTGCAATTTGTGAATGATGTATATGAAGCCGATTTGTTCAATCACTTGTAACTGAGTAATCCTGTAATGCAAGAAATTGAAGTAATGGGACCAGTTTCTTGTCAATTTTGAGATATGTCATGACAAGCAAATTTGACCATACAGCCACAGTATCACATACATTACAAGGTTTCTTAGGAATTTAAGAGGTCCATAGTTTAACATAGGTAGAGGTATCATCTAGGTGCACATGTCCCTGGGAATTTAGAATTACAAAAGATATGACAATATTATTGGATTGTCTCATGCGGCATACATTTTCCCCTTCCTTGGAGTCAGCTTTTTGTTGATAGCTCTCTTTGTTGGAGACTTCTTTGGCCTAGTTGGGGTAGTCATAGGATCTGTTGCTCCACCAATTTGACTGAAAAAACATAAAGTCTTAGGTAAGATGAACGAGCTGCAAAATTTGTCCTTCATTTGAACAAGGATTTTTACCTTCTTGTAATAGGTCCTGGGTTAATATTGACATGACTTGTCTCTCTCATATTCTCCATGGTTAATTGCAGTTGGCTAAAAAAAGAGTAAATGTTCAGTTTGGAAACAGAAAGAATAAAATGTACAGATTCAACTATTGTACCTTCTTGTAACTGGCATAGGAGTTGAACTTTCCTGCGCATCAACCTTTTGCCTTTTAGGTGTACCAGTAGTTGCATCTCCTTTACTGGAGGCAACTGGATTACAAGGCCTCCCTTGCTTGGCACGACTCTTCCTGTAAAATTAAAAGGGTTGAGATTAAGAAATCTATTTCACTCAAATAGCAGAAAAATAGATTTTTGTACCTCTTTTTAGTTCTAGTAAGCGGGCACTTTGGGGATCCAGTTCTATGCCCATAAGCAAAGCAAGTCTTGCATTGTACCCGCCACTTGCCTTTGGTCCTTTTCTTGTTTCCCTTATCTTCCATGCAGCCAGGAATTCTAAGCTTCCTTAGTCTCCCTACTGGCAATTTAGATAGAGGTGGCAGCACCCTAAAACCAAGATTCACTTTTGCCCACTGAGTTTTGTCCGGCAATGGTTTAATGACACCACCATAGGCAATCCTAAAATGATAAACTGAATAGTAAGGATGCATGTAATCTTGCATCTTAGGATTTCGACATGTAGTAATGAGTGCTAATGCATGTGGGTATGGTTTCCCCGAGACTTGCCACTCCCTGCATGTGCATACATGATTTGTAAGATTAGCCATGTGCCTTATGATCTTGTGCTTCTGAGTGATCTCTGTCACCTCTGCTTCATCTCTTCCACCTTTTTTACATGTAGGTGACCCAATTGCCTACTCATTGCATAGAGTTGGCGAACTACAATAGGGAGCATTACATGGCCTTCTAATTTTTCACCAATTCTTCTCCTTTTTGCATACAACTCCATGAACTTAGACCGAAGAGTGTCTGCAAGATCAGCTATGGGAAGGTCCTTGCTCTCCTTCACCCAATTGTTCCAAGACTCTACAAGATTATTGGTAATGTGATCACACTTTATCTCTTCTAAAAATTTGCTCCTAAACCATTTCAAACTATGGTGTTCTTCCAACCAAGGCTTCACATCTGAACTTGCTTCATATATTTTATTCATCAGGTACTCATGATATTCTGGCTGGAAAGTCCTAGCTGCAGGATACATTCTCCCATATGCATGCCCTCTAAACTTCTTGACAAAATTCTTCATCAAGTGGACAAAACATTCTCTATGTTCTGCCTAAGGATACACTTTCTTCACAGCATTTGCTATGCCCTTACAAGCATCTGAACATATAGCTAGATAAGGTGGATTGTCAATTGCCTTTTGCAGCTGCTGCATAAACCAAGTCCAATTGTCATTTGTCTCACCATCAAAAAATCCAAATGTAACTGGAAACATCCAGTTGTGTCCATCTAGAGCAGTAGCTGAAGGTAGGTGTCCATTCCACCTACCATTGAGAGTTGTGGAATCTATACTCAGATATGGCCTACAACCATTTAGGAAGCCATCTATGCTAGGTTTGAAACAACAAAAGAATCTATGGAAATATACACCATCTGGCTTCTGTATTATATCTATCTCTACAACACTTCCAGGCATTCTGAGCTCAACCTCTGCCTTCAAATTGAACAAGTATCCAAAGCTCTCTTCCCATGTACCAAAAATGTGTTCAGCTGCCTTCTTCCTACCGAGGCACACTGTATGATACCCAATTGAGACCTGATACTTGTCCTCCAACTCTTTTTGTAATTTCTTAGGACCCATGTTTGGGTCCTTCTTTAGAAAAGGGATTGCCTTCTCTGCTACCCAATGGTAGGTTGCCATCTTTGTCCTCACCCTCCTAGTGGATGGACAAAAATGTTCTTCCTTATTCAAAGTAACATGCCAATCAAAATAGCATATATTAGTAAAATTAAAAATATAGTTAAGTTTGTCATATCAATAATTTTAGTTAAAAGTCCAATAAGAAAATCACAAAAAGTTAGCAAAGTATACCCTGACATGCTTTTTATCACTCATCAACCTTGCTACAATAGCCCATGGACAACCCTCGGCTTTGTAGTAGCCCCTGAATAATGTTGTACATGATTTTTCTGTTCCAAGATCAAATTGACCCATTATAGCATGTTGTCTCACTGCTGATCTAAACTCATTCATACTAGCATATATGGTTCCAACTTTCATTGGAGGGTTTTTTCTTGTCATAAAAATAGAATCTTCACCACGAATACAATCATCAACAGGCAACTCAGCACCCTCTAGGTCCATAGGCCCAACATTAGTTTCATTTTCATTTTCAGCATCAAAGCTAGCTTTCTTTGCTCTCTCATCCTCTGCTCTAAGACCAAGAAATTCATACATTGCATCTTCACTCATCAAAGGGACCGCGCTACCAATCTGATCTTCTATAAGTGGAATTATCTCTAAATTATCCCAATCAATTCCATGTTCAGCAGCAGGCTCAAAGCTTGATTGCACTGGTGCACTATTATTATCATTAACCACATTGCTCAAGATTTCTGTTGCTTCTGAAACAACTGAGGTTGCAACCAATTTTACAGGTTTCTCTTCCACATCAACATATAGAAACATCTTCTTATCGATCAGTCTTTCGGAGAAGGCAACAGACAAATCTTTAACATCCACTATTTTCCTTTCCCCACCTTTGCTCATATCAAATTCAGATATTACAGGATGCTGGTTGCTTCCCCACTTGGCCCTAATTGCCAGGTCCTTTTCTAAGTTCTGCAAATTATAATAGCGATAGTCCACCACCCATTCATCATATTTGCGTTGAACATCAATTGAGTTAGCATTATCTAGTTTTGTTGTGAAAGGTGAAACCTGAACACATAGTTTAAATGCCCCATCCGGATCAACCCTACCGAGTTGAAAAAAAGAGAGAGAACATAACCATGAGCATCAGCCATGCTTCTCCCCCAAATCCAAAAAAGCAACCTTGGAGAGGACAGGGATCTGCGTTCTTACCCTGGGAGACCTCGAAGGGGATCATAGCCGACCTGATCCAGCCACCCAAAGCTCCTCCTGCAGTCCGAGGACCAAACCCTAGCAGCTTCTGTTCACTCGTGAGAGAGAGGAGGCAATGAGAGAGAGAGAGAAACAGGAGAGAGAGAGAGAGAGAGAGAGAGGGAAGGAATGCAATGCTTCTCATCCAGTAGATACGATCCATAAAGAGATAAGGCTAATGGGTACTTTGGTCATTCAGCCTTGCCTTGGAAGCCAAAAGAAAATAAAAAAAATGTTGAATGGAAAAAAGAAGGAGAAAACACCTGCTTTCAACGAATTCGCACCCAGAGTGTTAAATTTTCAACGGCGTGCGAATTGGATGTCAAATGTTCACATGCGCGCAGATTGGGTGTCAAATATTCAATTTTCTCCAAATTAAACGGTTTGGAAAAATTTAAAGTGCTAAACAACCGGTTTTGTGGGTGGTGGGATTAAGTATGCCAGCTCGAATAGTTCAGGGGTATCTAGACTTTTTCCATTTCTAATAGGATAAGCTACCGATAGTACAGTTTTCAGGGCAGTCTCAGTGGTTCATGGCGTTGTTTTCAAGACTGTCATGGAATTAAATGAAACTTAGATGAAACACTCACTCTCGATGCAAAGCTTCATTCTATAGTTTCATAGACATTTAATTTCATGACTCATAGAGAGTTGGCAATCGTGCTAACATGAAACTCGCACTGAGATGGGCCTCATAGCACATTTGGAACATAAAGTTCTTTTCGTAGCACGATTGTCTAATGGTATGTGAGTATTTATCGTTGGTCTCAGATGAACTATTTCTAAAATTCTTAACATTGAACTTCCAACCTCCCTTATTCGGGTTGAAGGACACGAATTCTGCATCGTGATCCTTGGTCCACTGCAGAGTAGTTCATAGCAAATGAAAAGTAATTCAGTTCTTAGTTACATTTGAGGCATTTAGTTTTAAAAAAGGTAGTGCTTGGGATGCTGACTGTCAATTGGTTTCTTTTTTATTTGGTCTAGCAGCAATATTTTCGTGGACAAAGGCACAGCAAGAGTTTCAGACTGTGGTCTAGCCAAACTTGGATTTGATATTTTGATAGACTTCGGTAAGAGCTGCATAACAGTGTGTATAGTACTGCTTTCGTCTGGCTTTTCAGTTATGTTGGGGAAGTAGCTCAGTAGATCCTCATGCACTTGTGAGTAGTCAAGGAGTGTTGTCCTTTATGAGTTCAATCTTAAATTGCATTCTGGTCTTGCTCTATAAGTGAAATCGATTATGCCTTTTTTATTATTTGCTGTTTATTCTCATACAAGATTAAGTACCTGTTTAATCTGGATCCTGACAAAGCTGATGGAGCTAGCTTCATGTTCCTTGTCCTCATTCACCTCAATCTGTGTTTTTGTCCTTTTTATGATCCCAACAGTAGCCTGAACTAATAAATTGTTCTTAAAATGGTCCTTGTTGCACTGGTATCTGGTCATTAGCTTGTCCGTTCTTCCTTTTTAGACATCTTCAGTTCTTGACCAGTAAGCCTTGACATAATGAGGTTGCATCTGTATTATTTTTCTTGCTCCTGTTATGATGCTTATTCTCTGGTCCTCCTGATGTTTGCCATTTTCCACATTTTTTGCAGAGAAACAAGGAGGGAAATGGATGAGTCGTTCCACTTTCTAAACTTCGAAATTTTCACAATGTTGTAGAGAAACAGGGAGCCTTGAGTCGTTCCATTTTCTAAAGCTTCCAATTTTCACATTGTTATAGACAAACAAGGACGCAAATACAGGGTTGTTGCATAGATTTTTGTATAGAGAGACATATATCATGTTTGTTATTTAGAGAAAAATTATGGTTATTCTGTGTATAGGTAGAAAGTTTCATGCGGAGAAATATGTGGAGAAATGTGTTGTGTAAGTAGAGAACATGCTTGTTCGATGGAGAGAAATCCTATGCTGAGGGAAGGTTTACTAAAGAGAAAAAAACGAGTTTTCTTGTGGGAGGACAGAGATGTCATCATGATCTTGTGCGTCAAGAGATAGAGAGCTGTCTTTGGAGATTTCATGTTTTTAATCATCCGAACAACATTTGAAATTGATTCTTAGGAAAGAATTTAATGTCCACCGAAACATGAGAATTGAATTGAATCAAATTATACATATTTCATTTCTTATTGAATCTAATTCCTGTTAGGTTGATCTCTAATCCTAACTGGACCCAACGGCTCAGTTGGGCCTTTGATTCGCGCCCTGATCGGGGGCGCCCAGCCCACCATGGCTAGAGGGCCCCTGTTACCCTGCGCTATAAAAAGAGGTGGAGGCCGGCGGCTCTTATCACGAGGTTGACCTGAGCCGAGCTCCCCACCAACATCTAAACCCTAATCCGATCAGAGAGCGGCACAGCCAGTGACGAGAAGCCACCAGCCACGCCACCCGCTCTATCGATGTCGACGTCTTCACCGCCCTCTTCACCGATCGTCGCTTCCCGTGCGCAGACATCACCAACGAACCTGATGGCGTCCGCTGAACCTTCCCCCTCTAAGGTGTCAGGTTCAGCACCCTCTCCCTTCCATCTCTGTCTCTCTAGTTCTACATGCATTAGGATGTACTACGTTCTTTATCCCGAATAGAACCATTGTACCCGGCTAGATCTATGGTCCTAGTGATTCAACAGTTTTAACATTGGTACCAGAGCCACGTTTTTTCTAGGGTTTTTTTTAGATCTAGAACGGGTAAACGGATTAGAAAAGGAAGAATGTTACATCCAGTGCGGGTCTAACAAGAACAGAGGGTTTGGTTGAACCCTAACCCTAATTGGATTAAGGAAAAAGGGTTCGAATGAACCCTAACCCTAACTGGGTTAAAGAAAGAAGGAGGGCTCGGTTTCACGTCTAAACCAAACTCTAAAACCCGCAATCAATTCGGGAAAAAGGACAGCAGTGAAACCCTAACCCTAACTTCGATCCCCATCTCAAATCGGTTGAATCCGAGCACCAACAGGGGAAGAAGGGGAAGGGGTGGCCTACCTCGCCGCTGCGCAGCGATACTGCCTCGCCGGCGCGCGGGGAAAAGAATGCCGATGCTCTGGCCAAAGGGGCGCCGCAGCCAGGCCGCTCGACGGCGGCACGCTCACCCGCTGGGGAGCGTGCACGCCGGCGAGGGGGCCGACGACGGTGCCATCACTCCACCGTCTTGCCTCGCTCGGAATCGCTCGGTTGCCACTGTGCTGCGCTGAGGAGAGAGGCGAAGAAAGAGAGAGGAGAAGGCTGAATGGCCGCTAGGGTTCGGGGACCGCGGCGGGGAGAGGATTTTGTTTCGGCCGAAACGACCGGACGGCCGTCGGATGTGATCTGGCGGTGATAGAAGAGCGGGCCAACTCACGGCCCAGGCCCACGTTGCCACCTAGGTGCGGCCGAGCGCCGCGCAGAGCAGTGGGCCGAGTCGGTTTTGGGCCGAGAAAGGAAGAGCAAGAGCCCGATTTCATATTTTTATTTTTCTAGGAAAATTGAAAAATGGAAATTGGCTCAAAAGAAAATAGAAAAAAAAATCCTGTGGGTAAAATTCACTAAATTGAGATTATTTTCCGCTGCGTATTTAAAGATGTTATTTTCATTATTAAATTCGAATCAACGAGAGAATTTAATTTTAAAAAATGGATATGTTTTAATTGATTATAATATTGTTATTTTTCTGACCAACGTTGATTAATGGCAATATTATGATGTTTTGTCTTGCATTAATTCTATTTCTGCCCAACGGTGATGTAGAATTAATGTAGAGAACAATTGTATGTTTTAATTTTGACCAACGTTGAAACTAAGGCATGCAATTGTTATTGTTATTATTTATGTTCTCACACTATTTGAATTGTATTTTTAGGCGGATACAACTTGCTGGGTTGTATCAAAGAGATCCCTACTCTCAAAGGTGATAACTACACTGAGTGGAAGAAAAAGATCGACCTAGCCTTTATCTTGGCTGAGGTGGACTGGGTAGTCACCATACCGTGTCCCACAGAGCCTGTGGCACCGGTGAGGGAGACAAATGAGACTGATGCCGCTTAGGCAACCAGAGAGAGGGATTTTGCATCCCAAAAAATGTCCTATGACCTTGAGCATAGAAAGTGGGTCACTGCCAATAAGAAGTGTTTGACTGTGATAAAGAACATGATTGAGCCTACAATTGTGGGCTCAATCCCAGAGTGTGACACCGTCACCAAGTATCTAAAAGAATAAAGAGTCAGTTCACTGGCTCTTCAAAGACATATGCTACCCAGCTGATAAAGCAGCTGGTGACAGAGAAGTACTCAGGTAATGGTGGCATAAGAGAGCACATACTAAGGATGAACAATTTGTCATCTAAGCTAAAACCAATGGATCTAGCTCTCAAGGGTGAGTTCCTTATCCATCTGATTTTTGCTTCCTTGCCAAAAGAGTTTGACACTTTTGTTGTCAACTACAACATACAGCCCGAGAAGTGGGACATTGAGAGCTCTAGTTTGGTTTTGGTGAATTGATAAAACCCTAAGTGCTAACCTAGTTTATCAAGTGATCATGAGATAGGTAGCACACTCCAAGTGGTGAAGCAAATGAAGATCATAGCATGATGATGATGATGGCATGGTGATGATCAAGTGCTTCGACTTGGAAAGAAGAAAGAGAAAAACAAAAAGCTCAAGGCAAAGGTATGATTTGAAGGAGCTATTTTTGTTTTGGTGATCAAGACACTTAGAGAGTGTGATCATATTTAGGTTTGATAGCCGTACTATTAAGAGGGGTGAAACTCGTATCGAAATGTGTTATCAAAGTGTCACTAGATGCTCTAAGTCATTGCATATGCATTTAGGATCTAGTGGAGTGCTAACACCCTTGAAAATGTTTGTGAAAATATGCTAACACATGTGCACAAGGAGACACACTTGGTGGTTGGCATATTTGAGCAAGGGTGAAGAAGATAGAAGTGAAAAGGAGTAAGTGTCACTGGTTATACAGTGACCGGACGCTGGCCTCTGGGGGACCAGCGCGTCCGGTCATGTGTAGCAGTGAAGACTCCAGCGTCGGTTCCTGACCGGACGCTGGGTCACTCAGCGACCGGATGCTGGACGGCTATGTCCGGTCATGTTGTCAGACAGCATAGACAGAAGTCAGCATCTGACCGGATGTTGGCAGGGTCCGGTCAAGCATGACCGGACATGTCCGGTCGTGAAATATCATTTCTGGAACCTTACTGGAAACGACTGGACGCTGAGCGTCCGATCAGTTTATGTGCAGTGTCCGATCAATAGATGACCATTGAAATCTGATGAACAACATTTGAAGCAGGGGACACATGGCGTGTATCACGTGACCGGACGCTGAGGGCCAGCGTCCGGTCGATCCAACCGGAGCGTCCGGTCACCCCACGTTTTATCCAGTGAAGGGGTACAACGGCTCTATTTCGTGGGGGCTTCTATTTAAGCTCCATGACCGGCTCAAGCTCACTCTCTTTGGCCATTTGCATTGACATAGCAACCTTGTGAGCTTAGCCAAAGCCCTCCCACTCATCTCCATCATTGATTCATCATCTTTGTGAGATTGGGAGAGATTCCAAGTGCATTGCTTGAGTGTTTGCATCTAGAGGCACTTGGTGTTCGTGTTTCGCTGCGAGATTCGCTTGTTACTCTTGGTGGTTGCCGCCACCTAGACGGCTTGGAGCAGCGAGGATCGTTGAGCGGAGAGTGGTGATTGTCTCTGGCTCCGATCGTGGTGATTGTGAGGGGTTCTTGACCTTTCCCCGGCGGAGAGCCAAAAGGTACTCTAGTGAATTGCTCATGGCTTGTGTGATCCTCATCTTGTGTTGATTGTGCGGCACCCTATTGAGGGTTTGGCGTGTGATGCTAATTAGTGTGTGAACCTCCAAGTGAGTGTATCGCCACAACGAGGAGTAGCTTGCTGGCAAGCAAGTGAACCTCGATAAAAAATCATTGTGTTCTTCCTTTGATTCTGAGGTGATTGGTCTTCATTGTTATTCACTCTTGTGATTGATTGGTTCCTTCATCTACACGGCGGTATAACTTTCTTGATCACTCTCTTTACATTACCGCAAACTAGTTGTCAAGCTCTTTAGTGTAGCTAGTTGTGAGAGCTTGCTTGCTTGGTTTGGCTCTTTAGTTAGCCTTTGAGAGCACACTAACATAGGGTAGTGTTATAGCTATTGTGTGAATAGATACTATCTAAACTAGAATTGCGGTAGGTGGCTTGCATTTTGAGTAAGCTAGCGCAACTCTTGCTTCGCCTTATAATTGTCTAACCATTTTGTTAAGTGTTGTTGTAGAAATTTTTATTAGGCTATTCACCTCTCCTCTAGCCATTAGGACCTTTCAGATATGGAGAGTGTGGCAGAACCTCCTAAATTATAGTGCCCACATGCACC